CACCCAGGGTTAAGTACTCCTGGCATTGAACGCCCATAGTAGTAACACCCAGGGTTAAGTACTCCTGGCATTGAACGCCCATAGTAGTAACACCCAGGGTTAAGTACTCCTGGCATTGAACGCCCATAGTAGTAACACCCAGGGTTAAGTACTCCTGGCATTGAACGCCCATAGTAGTAACACCCAGGGTTAAGTACTCCTGGCATTGAACGCCCATAGTAGTAACACCCAGGGTTAAGTACTCCTGGCATTGAACGCCCATAGTAGTAACACCCAGGGTTAAGTACTCCTGGCATTGAACGCCCATAGTAGTAACACCCCAGGGTTAAGTACTCCTGGCATTGAACGCCCATAGTAGTAACACCCAGGCTTGCAAGTACTCCTGGCATTGAACGCCCATAGTAGTAACACCCAGGGTTAAGTACTCCTGGCATTGAACGCCCATAGTAGTAACACCCAGGGTTAAGTACTCCTGGCATTGAACGCCCATAGTAGTAACACCCAGGGTTAAGTACTCCTGGCATTGAACGCCCATAGTAGTAACACCCAGGGTTAAGTACTCCTGGCATTGAACGCCCATAGTAGTAACACCCAGGGTTAAGTACTCCTGGCATTGAACGCCCATAGTAGTAACACCCAGGGTTAAGTACTCCTGGCATTGAACGCCCATAGTAGTAACACCCAGGGTTAAGTACTCCTGGCATTGAACGCCCATAGTAGTAACACCCAGGGTTAAGTACTCCTGGCATTGAACGCCCATAGTAGTAACACCCAGGGTTAAGTACTCCTGGCATTGAACGCCCATAGTAGTAACACCCAGGGTTAAGCACTCATAGCATTGAACGCCCATAGTAGTAACACCCAGGGTTAAGCACTCATAGCATTGAACGCCCATAGTAGTATCACCCATGGATAAAATGCTAATCTAACCTACAGATAATAATACATAGATACACAGAGTTACGTCTGCACTACATAAAGTGTTCGATGCATATTTTAGTGTCATAATGTGTATATACAAAGGTGAAATGTAATTCTGACCAGCTTCCACATATTCCTTATACACACATACACGCCCATCTTAACCCTGGGTGTTACTACTATGGGCGTTCAATGCCAGGAGTGCTTAACCCTGGGTGTTACTACTATGGGCGTTCAATGCTATGAGTGCTTAACCCTAGGTGTTACTACTATGGGCGTTCAATGCTATGAGTGCTTAACCCTGGGTGTTACTACTATGGGCGTTCAATGCTATGAGTGCTTAACCCTGGGTGTTACTACTATGGGCGTTCAATGCCAGGAGTGCTTAACCCTGGGTGTTACTACTATGGGCGTTCAATGCCAGGAGTACTTAACCCTGGGTGTTACTACTATGGGCGTTCAATGCCAGGAGTACTTAACCCTGGGTGTTACTACTATGGGCGTTCAATGCTATGAGTGCTTAACCCTGGGTGTTACTACTATGGGCGTTCAATGCTATGAGTGCTTAACCCTGGGTGTTACTACTATGGGCGTTCAATGCCAGGAGTGCTTAACCCTGGGTGTTACTACTATGGGCGTTCAATGCCAGGAGTGCTTAACCCTGGGTGTTACTACTATGGGCGTTCAATGCCAGGAGTGCTTAACCCTGGGTGTTACTACTATGGGCGTTCAATGCCAGGAGTACTTAACCCTGGGTGTTACTACTATGGGCGTTCAATGCTATGAGTGCTTAACCCTGGGTGTTACTACTATGGGCGTTCAATGCTATGAGTGCTTAACCCTGGGAGTTACTACTATGGGCGTTCAATGCTATGAGTGCTTAACCCTGGGTGTTACTACTATGGGCGTTCAATGCCAGGAGTGCTTAACCCTGGGTGTTACTACTATGGGCGTTCAATGCTATGAGTGCTTAACCCTGGGTGTTACTACTATGGGCGTTCAATGCCAGGAGTGCTTAACCCTGGGTGTTACTACTATGGGCGTTCAATGCCAGGAGTACTTAACCCTGGGTGTTACTACTATGGGCGTTCAATGCCAGGAGTACTTAACCCTGGGTGTTACTACTATGAGCGTTCAATGCCAGGAGTACTTAACCCTGGGTGTTACTACTATGGGCGTTCAATGCCAGGAGTACTTAACCCTGGGTGTTACTACTATGGGCGTTCAATGCCAGGAGTACTTAACCCTGGGTGTTACTACTATGGGCGTTCAATGCCAGGAGTACTTAACCCTGGGTGTTACTACTATGGGCGTTCAATGCCAGGAGTACTTAACCCTGGGTGTTACTACTATGGGCGTTCAATGCCAGGAGTGCTTAACCCTGGGTGTTACTACTATGGGCGTTCAATGCCAGGAGTGCTTAACCCTGGGTGTTACTACTATGGGCGTTCAATGCCAGGAGTACTTAACCCTGGGTGTTACTACTATGGGCGTTCAATGCCAGGAGTACTTAACCCTGGGTGTTACTACTATGGGCGTTCAATGCTATGAGTGCTTAACCCTGGGTGTTACTACTATGGGCGTTCAATGCCAGGAGTACTTAACCCTGGGTGTTACTACTATGGGCGTTCAATGCCAGGAGTGCTTAACCCTGGGTGTTACTACTATGGGCGTTCAATGCTATGAGTGCTTAACCCTGGGTGTTACTACTATGGGCGTTCAATGCCAGGAGTGCTTAACCCTGGGTGTTACTACTATGGGCGTTCAATGCTATGAGTGCTTAACCCTGGGTGTTACTACTATGGGCGTTCAATGCTATGAGTGCTTAACCCTGGGTGTTACTACTATGGGCGTTCAATGCTATGAGTGCTTAACCCTGGGTGTTACTACGTTCAATGCTATGAGTGCTTAACCCTGGGTGTTACTACTATGGGCGTTCAATGCTAGAGTGCTTAACCCTGGGTGTTACTACTATGGGCGTTCAATGCTATGAGTGCTTAACCCTGGGTGTTACTACTATGGGCGTTCAATGCTATGAGTGCTTAACCCTGGGTGTTACTACTATGGGCGTTCAATGCTATGAGTGCTTAACCCTGGGTGTTACTACTATGGGCGTTCAATGCTATGAGTGCTTAACCCTGGGTGTTACTACTATGGGCGTTCAATGCCAGGAGTGCTTAACCCTGGGTGTTACTACTATGGGCGTTCAATGCTATGAGTGCTTAACCCTGGGTGTTACTACTATGGGCGTTCAATGCTATGAGTGCTTAACCCTGGGTGTTACTACTATGGGCGTTCAATGCTATGAGTGCTTAACCCTGGGTGTTACTACTATGGGCGTTCAATGCTATGAGTGCTTAACCCTGGGTGTTACTACTATGGGCGTTCAATGCTATGAGTGCTTAACCCTGGGTGTTACTACTATGGGCGTTCAATGCTATGAGTGCTTAACCCTGGGTGTTACTACTATGGGCGTTCAATGCTATGAGTGCTTAACCCTGGGTGTTACTACTATGGGCGTTCAATGCCAGGAGAACTTAACCCTGGGTGTTACTACTATGGGCGTTCAATGCTATGAGTGCTTAACCCTGGGTGTTACTACTATGGGCGTTCAATGCCAGGAGTACTTAACCCTGGGTTTTACTACTATGGGCGTTCAATGCTATGAGTGCTTAACCCTGGGTGTTACTACTATGGGCGTTCAATGCTATGAGTGCTTAACCCTGGGTGTTACTACTATGGGCGTTCAATGCTATGAGTGCTTAACCCTGGGTGTTACTACTATGGGCGTTCAATGCTATGAGTGCTTAACCCTGGGTGTTACTACTATGGGCGTTCAATGCTATGAGTGCTTAACCCTGGGTGTTACTACTATGGGCGTTCAATGCTATGAGTGCTTAACCCTGGGTGTTACTACTATGGGCGTTCAATGCTATGAGTGCTTAACCCTGGGTGTTACTACTATGGGCGTTCAATGCCAGGAGTACTTAACCCTGGGTGTTACTACTATGGGCGTTCAATGCTATGAGTGCTTAACCCTGGGTGTTACTACTATGGGCGTTCAATGCCAGGAGTACTTAACCCTGGGTTTTACTACTATGGGCGTTCAATGCTATGAGTGCTTAACCCTGGGTGTTACTACTATGGGCGTTCAATGCTATGAGTGCTTAACCCTGGGTGTTACTACTATGGGCGTTCAATGCTATGAGTGCTTAACCCTGGGTGTTACTACTATGGGCGTTCAATGCTATGAGTGCTTAACCCTGGGTGTTACTACTATGGGCGTTCAATGCTATGAGTGCTTAACCCTGGGTGTTACTACTATGGGCGTTCAATGCTATGAGTGCTTAAACCTGGGTGTTACTACTATGGGCGTTCAATGCTATGAGTGCTTAACCCTGGGTGTTACTACTATGGGCGTTCAATGCTATGAGTGCTTAACCCTGGGTGTTACTACTATGGGCGTTCAATGCCAGGAGTGCTTAACCCTGGGTGTTACTACTATGGGCGTTCAGTTCCATGAGTGCCTAACCCTGGGTGTTACTACTATGGGCGTTCTGTTCCATGAGTGCCTAACCCTGGGTGTTACTACTATGGGCGTTCAATGCCAGGAGTACTTAACCCTGGGTGTTACTACTATGGGCGTTCAATGCCAGGAGTACTTAACCCTGGGTGTTACTACTATGGGCGTTCTGTTCCATGAGTGCCTAACCCTGGGTGTTACTACTATGGGCGTTCAATGCCAGGAGTACTTAACCCTGGGTGTTACTACTATGGGCGTTCTGTTCCATGAGTGCCTAACCCTTCACCAACCCTTCATAATGCCCGAAACGCTTTGCGTAATAGTGGCTTTAGGCATTGTATGTACTAGCTCTACCTATAAGTCAACCAATCTTTGTAAAAATTAATTGTATGTATGTACCTTACCTAAATAAAATATTATTATTATTATTATTATTATTATTATTATTATTATTATTATTATTATTATTATTATTATTATTATTATTATTATTATTATTATTATTATTATTATTATTATTATTATTATTATTATTATTCACGGGTACGCCGGGACCCAACCGATCCCTGGTTGAGATCGGTTTGGGTCCGGCTCCGTCGTCGCCCCGAAGTCAACAACAACTCTGGGCCGGAGGGAGGCGAGGCGTCCGCGTTCCCCGCCCAGTAACATTAACATTAACATATATAAAGAACGCATAAAACTCACAAAACTCTCTTGAGCGACCACTACAGGAGCGAACGATGAGGTGTGAGGAGGCCTGAGCAGGCCTGAGCAGGCCTCGCCGCAGGAACCCTGGCAGGTATTTGAAAGTTTTTCCTCTTCTATAATTTGGATACTCTATTTTGAGAAATTATAGGTGTAAATAATATTATTTGTGTACAGCTCAGGTGTTTATGGTAATTTGCATATTGTTGACACTAATGGGTAGGGTTGTCTATGTGCTAAAAGGGGCTTAGAGTTAATTAGATTCAGATTCAGATTCAGATGTTTATTCAGGTAAGGTATATACATACAAGTGATGTTACATTAATGGATTGATATATAGATAGAGCTAGTATATACAATGCCTAAAGCCACTATTACGCAATGCGTTTCGGGCAAAGTTATTAAAAAAGTTATTAAAAGTTATTAAAAAAATTAGAATTCGTGTTGTTAATTTAAGTGGTTTCAGTTTTCTTATTAAGAGTTTTGATAATTGTAGGTGGTTGTGTATTATTATTTGTGTGTGAACTTTATATGAGACACCCAAAGCACACATCACGAAATAATGTAGGTCTGTTTTGGTCTGTCCAGGACCAGACGTTATGGTCTGTCCTGGACCATTATGTGCCTCTGTAACCCTTTCCACTACCTCCCACAGGATGGGTCTGGGGTGCATAATAAATGAACTAAACTAACTCCTGGGCCAGACGTTTTAGTCTGTCCTGGACCAGACTTTTTGGTCTCTCCTGGACCAGACTTTTCGGTTTCTCCTGGACCAGACGTTTTGGTCTCTCCTGGACCAGACGTTTCGGTCTGTCCTGGACCAGACGTTTCGGTCTGTCCTGGACCAGACGCTTCGGTCTGTCCTGGACCAGACGTTTCGGTCTGTCCTGGACCAGACGTTTCGGTCTGCCCTGGACCAGACGTTTCGGTCTGTCCTGGACCTGACGTTTCGGTCTGTCCTGGACCAGACGTTTCGGTCTGCCCTGGACCAGACGTTTCGGTCTGCCCTGGACCAGACGTTTCGGTCTGCCCTGGACCAGACGTTTCGGTCTGCCCTGGACCAGACGTTTCGGTCTGTCCTGGACCAGACGTTTCGGTCTGTCCTGGACCAGACGTTTCGGTCTGTCCTGGACCATATACAATATGGACCATAATGCCCAAACCCAAAACTTGCCCAAAATGCTATGCATGCTAGTGGCTTTGCAAGAATGTAAAAACATCACTCTTATGTACTCCCACAAACCCAATGTACCTCCTTGTATATGTAAATAAATGAATACAAATAAATAAATAATGGCCCAGGACGAACCGAAACATCATCACTCACATTATTTTCTGATGGGTGAGTTGTGTCTAACGTTGAGCCACGTTATTATGACTCGCTCTCCACTTTCTGTCTGTGTGTATAGCACCAACTGGTGAAATAACTATGTAACCCAACTGACCTGACTTACTCTACCAAACATTAACCTAACTTTGTAGAGTAGACAGTTTGGGGTCTAGTTGTTTCGGAGACGAGACAATTCGACGTAGCTCGTTTTCTGTTTGTTAAAATCGTGTATATTGCTATGATAGGATGTATTAGCTTAGGTTAGACTATTTTGCTCGGGTGGGTTAGGTTAGATTGAGTTGAGTTAGGTTAGGTTGAGCTATATTAGGTTGAGCTAGGTTAAGCTAGGTAGGTTTAAAAATCTGTTGGCGAATCGTCTTGTGTACGATGTGACTTGTAGCTGACAGTTCGTGTACAGTATTTGCTTAAGTGCCAATATATCTCTAGTACAGTGGTTTTTAGCCTTTCTGGACCCGTGGCCCTATTTTCTAATACTCAGAAGACCAGTGACCCCCCTGCCTCACTTTCATAATAGAAAAAATTGTATAATTAGGATACCCGCCACTTGCTATTTCTTAATGATTCAGAATCTAGGTTCTGTGACTCGCCAGAAAACATTTGCTTTAGTGGAATCAATTGGAATAGAAAGGGAAAAACCAATGACTTATCAAAGGTCCACATTGCTTCTAAGAATTTTTTTTAGCTGTATTTTGAACTGAAGTATTATCATACTTAACCAATTCTGAGGGATACAGTTAGAATGTATGAGGCATACTGCCTTGTACAGATGGTGATAATATTAATATTAATGTTTAATCAGATTAAAGTGCATACATACAAAATGAGTTAAAACAGAATGTTGGATTTCTAGATAGAGCTAGTATACACTATGCCTAAAGCCACTAATACGCACAGCATTTTGGGCAAACCCGAAATAGTTATCTGATGTTGAAAACAGATACCAAACAAAATATTTAGCATTAAAATTAAAATTACTTGTCAGAACCCAAATGCAAATTGCCAATCTAAATGGTGATTGAACACAAACCTTTTAAGAAACAATGTTTTTGCTATACTGACCAGTCAATTTGAATGAGAAATCGTCAAACTGATCCTGTTCTTTGTAGTATTGAAGGCCAAGTCCAGCATAATAATATTTTATTCAGAAAATATTACATGGGATCTGATTTCAAGGATTGTAGTAGGTATCTATATGTTTATATAAAATGTTGAATAATGATTCTAAATGTTTAGAAATGTGGATATGTTAAATAGAGGCCCATGGAAATGGAACCTATGCTGTTTGAATACAGACTTGTAGGATTCTACTGGGTTACAGGGTTAAATTACATTACTGGTTGTGTATTGCATAGAATCTCACTATACAGATGTGACTCAAACAAGGAATACAACTGTGGCCATGTCTGTGGTAGAAAATAATAATAAAAAAAATACAAAAAAAAACATAAAAAAATACAACTTTCACATTACCTGAATGTGACGATGTCTTGGTTCATCCTAGACCCTTTTCATATCATGATATAACAAGGATCCAGGACGGTGAAACGTCAACATTTGCATTTCTTTTAATTTCATGTGCCTGGGTTGTGTTTCTGGATATGTATTTCTAACTGATGCAGCATGCAAGTAGTGCAGCATGCACTGGGCCTATATCTTGCATATTTACAATTATCACGTTGGTTTAGGATTCACTAATTAAACAGATGAGTCTCATAACACACCTGAGATAGCACTGTTCATTTGTCAGTGCCCTTTTTAAAAGGGGCTCAGGACACTCAAATTCTGTTTGAGATGTCTAACCTAACAGATTGCCTAACCTAACTTATTCTGCCTATTTAAACCTGATAATTGCACCCTACATTACTTAACCTAACTGCATATTATGCATTGTGCCTTTCATAAGGCAAAGAAAAGGTCTGTATATCTGAAGCCATCATGCAAGATTTAGTGGATATGGTAGACTTGTTGCAGGGATACATGTTTTATCATGTCGGGAGCCGGTCGGCTGAGCGGACATCACGCTGGACTTGTGATCCTGTGGTCCTGGGTTCAATCCCAGGCGCCGGCGAGAAACAATGAGCAGTTTTTCTTTCACCCTATGCCCCTGTTACCTAGCAATAAAATAGGTACCTGGGTGTTAGTCAGCTGTCACGGGCTGCTTCCTGGGGGTGGAGGCCTGGTCGAGGACTGGACCGCGGGGACACTAAAAAGCCCCGAAATCATCTCAAGATAACCTCAAGATGTTTCTAAATAGTGCATAGCCGTATTGGTCTAAATTCAAATACAGTAGTGCAGTGCTCTTTGGATCTGTATTCTACATAAATGCATTCCCAAGGTTAAGTAAGGGTCTTGGTAGTACAGATGGGTTTGGTTTAGACTCATAGTCACAACTCCCGGGTTCGTATCCCATGCGGGTCAGAAATAATAATAATAATAATAATAATAATAATAATAATAATGATATAGTATATGTAAATTTATATACAGTATATATAAATATATGTAAAATATATGTAAATTTATATAAGGAATTTATCCTATGTTATGTCTGTGAGAAGCCATTACCATTACTAATGATAATGAAAACAACAGTAATAATAATTTGTTTAAAAAATTATGAATAGGAATAGTGTATGATAATATATTGCACAGGGGTTTAATAATGGTTACAAAGCATGTACATTTAATAAGGCCACTAATATGCAAAGCATTTCAGGCATAATATAATAGTAATTCATTGTGTCGGGGGACAGGCAGCCAGTATATACATACAGTACATGTTAGGCTTATATTGAGGTCCCCCCCCCTTCCCCAGGACGCAACCCCCATAAGCTGACTAACTCTTGGATACCTATCCACTGTTAAGTGGACAGGAACATTAGGTGATTGGAAACGCACCCAACCATTTCTGTCCTGCCCAGGATTCAAACCCGAAATTATCAATTGTGGGTCGAGAATGTATAATTGTGGGTCAAGAACTGTACTACCGGGGGATACTTATAACTTTAAGAATATAGTGAGGTATTTTAAATGTTTGGTGTGGTAGACATTTGTAGACACTACAAGTGTCTTTTCCACCTATTTTCTGTAAGAGGTAGTTGGGTTGACTGTGTCTACCTGGACCTAAAAAAGGCTTTTGCCCATCTTCGAACTGTCGCTTGTCTTTAGACTGTTGTCAGTCTCCAGACTCTCACCTGTCTCCGGACTCTCACCTGTCTCCAGACTCTCACCTGTCTCCAGACTCTCACCTGTCTCCGGACTCTCACCTGTCTCCAGACTCTCACCTGTCTCCAGACTCTCACCTGTCTCTAGACTCTCACCTGTCTCCAGACTCTCACCTGTCTCTAGACTCTCACCTGTCTCCAGACTCTCACCTGTCTCCAGACTCTCACCTGTCTCCAGACTCTCACCTGTCTCTAGACTCTCACCTGTCTCTAGACTCTCACCTGTCTCCAGACTCTCACCTGTCTCCAGACTCTCACCTGTCTCCAGACTCTCACCTGTCTCTAGACTCACCTATTTCTGGACTCTTGCCAGGCTCCAGCTTTCTCCAATATCTGGACTCTTGCCTGTCTTAAACACCATTGCCATTCTGTGGACGTCAGGGCTTTTAAAAATCATTACCACCACCATTGTTTAGCAAAACTACTAAAAATATTGCCAGAACATCCTCATATATTCCACAATAGGTACAGGCAGTTCCCCTTCTATGAACAGGTTACATTCTGAAAAATATGATCATA